AGCTCTGCAAAGGTCTTGAGGGGAAGGAGTCTCTTACATCCCAGCCCGTTTAATCGCATACAGGAAAGAGGAATCAACTGCTCCACAGAAGTGTTTTCAGAATCCCAGATCCTTTCTATTCCTTCCTGTGTTGTCCGTGCCTGTTAAATGATTTCCCAAGACAGGAAGAGTTTCCAGGAAAGGTCTCTGATTTGAGTCCTTTAAGCCTTAGGACACAGGTGAGTTTGTAGGTGTTTCACACTTTATGGACATCCAGCTCCTAAGAGTTAAGGGGATGCAACAGGGCAGGGGATTGGGACTCTATCCTAGAACCAGTGGCCTCGTCTCCCCTCAGGAGCCCCTTCCTCCTGTTATCCGATTGTCCTGACAACTATGCAGTGGCGTGACAGTGTCACGCGACTGTCAAGGATTCACCCACTTCAGGGACTCAAAGCCAATGGCACATCGGTGATTCCTTGTAGCAGGCTAGACTTTTCGATAGCCTGTCTAACCCTAGCACAGCAGAGGGCCCAACACCTCCTGCACTGCAAACCACAGCTCCAGGCAGATCTCATTTGAGGTGTGCCAGCCTTGCCAATAGCCCTTTACAACTCTCTAGGTGCATTGAATTCCCACATGAACCTCCCATCCACAACCAACCAGCCTGCGGCCTCTTCCTTATCTGTCAGTGCGATGTCACAACTGCCTCCGTTGCATTTATCAATGGGTGTGTGTATATTAGTTACCTGGCCTTTGTAGAAGACTTTCTCTGGGGAAGGTATGGGCTCTGAGCTCAGCTCGTTCTTGGGAACCAGACCTTTAACGTCATTGTAGAACTTCACAATGCAGCCGAATTCCCTAGCGCACACAATGAAGCCGTGAGCAATCAAGCCGGGCTTTGCAGCCTCGTAACTCGTGAGGACTGGAAATTTCGACATGACCAGAGTTTTCTTCAGAGTTAGGATCAGCTTCTTTTCTTCAGGATTGGATATTAACACCTAGGAGAGCAGGGGGAGGAGAGGTTAGAGTGACTGCACAGACGCTTTTCAATCAGGGAAAAGGCACCAAATCCTTGATTCATATTCACTACGTACAAGAATCCCACATATGTCTACAAGTTTGCACTAGCTTCAGACATCCAGACGCAACAGCGCTTTGAGATCCTCATTTACAAACATTAATGCTGACAATGTTTCCGAAGCTAATCCTGCTAAAGCAGAAGGTGTCAAATGACTTGGTGGCCAAATTCATGGCGGTTTTCCCTTGGATTGAATTCTCTCTATTCAAAGGCCATCAGGCTAGAACAGGAGCAACACTGGCCCCCAAATGAGATGCAGGATAGTCTGTCAGTATCAGTAAGTCTAGCGGAAAACTAGGAAGGTGCATTAAATGCGTGCATGGAAGTGGGTGGGAGTAAAGCCCATAAAATCCAAGCTTCTCTTCAGAGAAGACAGAATCTATTTCAATATGTCACTGCCCGAGAAATGACACCATTACTTCTGAGATGCAGCGCAGGGAAATGCAGAAGTTTCCTATTCAATATGCGGATTCCTACAAGGAATCACCCTAATGATTTTAAATGCTCACAGCCTCTGAAGTCGTTAAATACTGCCGAGGTTTTGGGAAGTTAAGTGATTACATCTAGCACGTACCGTGCTCACTTCATCCAAGGCTCTCAGAGCATTTTAACAAGAGAGACTAAGTATCACTAGATTCCTCTCTGTAAAATGGTGCTGACAAGTTAAGGCCTAAACATTTTCAAGCATCCACTAATCAGGAGCACAACCTGAGCCTCCTAGGGCCGGACTTTCAGAGCTGCTGGGTATCTGCAGCGCCCATCCCTTCATGTGGGTGCTCAGTAGCTCTCAAAAATCAGACCCCAGCTGTTTGTAATGGGGCACCAAACACCCCGAGACCATCCAAAGGAGCGGAGGCTTGAAAGTGTGGCCGTAATTTGGTCAGGCCGCACAGTGAGTCACAACGCCCAACACTCAGTCCAGTGGCCAATAGGGTGGGGCAACTGAGAAAAGGAAGCCGCTCCTCTCTCCGAAATACCAGCGACCTCACGCCCCAGGACTCATTATAAACAAACAATAAGCGCATCAGAGAGTCACCCGCTCTCAGTGGAAATCAGATTGGTCTT